GCTCTTATTATTATCAGTGCTTTACATTTCCAACATTTTTTCACATTCCTTTTCTAATTCAGTCCATGTGACAGCTTAGTGGGACAGGCAGGGCAGGCAGCATCACCTACATGCTCAAAAGAGCCTTCTGCAGCACTTTAGAAGGTGTCTGTTCACGCATCATGCCATTTGATTCTCAGAACAACCCCATGTTGTATGTAGCACATGTATTCAAGTCTGCTTTGTGTATTTAAATAATGAAATAATAAGAACATAAGTAATTCATATATGTTTGATTTATTTCCCCCAATAATAGGAATAAAATTGTTATGTGCTACCCTCACATGGATATTTTAATTGATGAGATGCATGAAAGCAGAGTTCAGAGCTCTTGATCTTTAAGATCCAGTTCAGTGATCATGTCCTGCAGGCTCCAGAGCTCTTCGCTCCCATCTGTTAGTAGAGGGCACTGCTCTGTGAACAGTACATGTGGTGTTCTTGCCTTCCTGTTTGTGTGTCCTACCACCTCTGCTTGGACTCCCTGTTTTTCTCTGATTTCTGCATGCTCAGAAGTGGCCAATAAATGGTTAAAAAATGAATAAGGAACTAAGTGAAGGAATGAATGAATGATTATTTGGTTTATTTATTAGGAAACCAAGACCCTAATAGTGAAGTGAATTGCTTAATTTCAACACAACTACTAAATGGATTAGTCAATAGTCATGCCCAGGTGGTGGAAAATCATGTCCAGAATGCCATCCAATGTGGCATGAAACTTCAGACCAAAATGAAGCCGTAGGTGTGCTCAGCCTGGAGTGTGCCTACAGACGAAAACCCACCCCAGATGGCATATCCAATTTAATCAACATCACCTGTGAGCCAAACTGAACAGTAAATGTTAAGACAGGATCACTAATAATGGGGACCTGGAATGTAGCCAGAATTAAAACAATGATCTGCTTAACAATCCCTCTGGGCTGGATGCATGTGGAGAACGGATAAATGCTGGATATCGAAACAGCTGCTCTATGGCAAACTGAAATGGGGCAATCATAGATAGCAAAGGGAGAAGAAACACTTGAAAGTTGTCTTAAATAAAGTAGTGCTTTAAATAATGTGTGACCTAGCTGTGGCCTTTTGAGAAGCAACCACCACACACAAACTACCCTGGCGTGCATCTCTAGAGAATGAGGTGGCTTTGGGTGAACAAAGCCTATGGAAGTAGAAAAGGCAATGATGGCTGGTGCCACCTGTGCTTATACACAGATTGTATTAATCCAAACTAGCACTGGGAATCACCTCAGAACATGAAGGCCAGTGTTCCAAATGAAAATCCCATGGGTCACCACTTCCTGAACTTTCCATCTTACATATGACCATTTTCTGCAAATGCCTTGTAGCCATTGTGTGAAATCCCATGTCTTTCATATACTGTCTATTATCTAATTGTTTTTAAATTATAATTACATGGTGTCTTCTCATCAGGATCACAAATTGCCTTAAAACTTAAACCAAAGTTGATGTTCAAAATAAGTAATCACCAGCATGGCACAGGCCAAGACCAACCAGAATGCTAGTTTGTAACACCATCCTGGTTGGTCCAGCCATTGCCCCCCTTCTTTTGGGTTGATGACTTTAAACTAGAAAGTATACTAGGACTGTAAACAAAGGATTTCCTGATTGATTGATTCCCCATGTTCATTTTTATACTTGTCTGTCATTGGGGAAAATCCCATATCAGTGTGTAATTTATCATCCATACAACTGTATTAAAATAAGCATGCTAATTACCTAGGAGTAGGGACTGAAAAATAAGCAGGCAAACAAGTAAAGAATCAGTTGTTCAAAATAAAATTTTCATGTATTTAATAGTCATTTTGAAATACATACTCTGTTACTGTGCTTATTCTTGGGAATACAGATAAAAAGAATGTATTTACTTATGGAGGATATAGATGAGTAGAAATACACATTTCACCACTGCTACCATCAACTATAATGTGTCCAAATGTTTTAAGAATAAGTTGTTATAATCTTTTTTATTGATACATAATATTTGGACACATTTATGGGGTACATGTGATATTTTGTTACATGTACAGAATGTGTAATGATCAAGTCAGGGTATCTGGAATATCCACCACCTCAGGTACTTATCATTTCTATTTGTTGGGGATATTTCATGTCCTCTCTTCTAGTATTGTATATTCTGAAATATACAATACATTGTGGTTAACTATAATCATCTCCTATTCTAATATGAAACATAATAATATGGAGCTTATTTCTTCAATGGAACTGTATATTTGGACCCATTAACCAACTTTTTTCATCTCTCCCCCATTGTGATTATTTTAACAGCTGCAAGATCACTATAGAGTCGGTAAGCATAGTTGAATTTCATGTATATAAACATTGGATCGTCTCCTCCAAACTTCCCCGTGCAGGAATTCCTTCCACAGCTTCCCTGAGAGGAGGTTAGCAGATCTGGCTATTCACAATACTTGGGAGAGGGGCTACTGCCTCGTGAAGGAAGCTATATGTTTTTAATAAAAAGAATGTCCATATTTTTAAAAAGCAGTTTGCAATATATTCTATAATTGTGGATTTTCCCTACATGCCCTTCTCTAAACCATATACTATGAATTTAGGTAAACTGTCTCTTCAGATCCAAGAGATTTTTAACATCTAACCAAAATGTCTTCTGATTTTGATCCTTAAATAGGAAAGAGTTATCAAGTGTAAGTTTCACTAAATCTCAATAGCCATAGGATTACATCTGATGAAAGGGCATTTATTTGTTTATTTGTTTAGAGATGGAACCTCACTCTGTCACCCAGGCTGGAGTGCAGTGGCGCGATCTCAGCTCACTGCAACCTCCGCCTTCTGGGTTCAAGCGATTCTCCTACCTCAGCCTTGTGAGTAGCTGAGACCACAGGTGTGTGACACTATGCCCGGCTGATTTTTTGTATTTTTAGTAGAGATGGGGTTTCACTGTGTTAGCCAGGATGGTCTCGATCTCCTGACCTCTTGATCCTCCCGCCTCGGCCTCCTAAAGTGCTGGGATTACAGGCGTGAGCCACTGCGTCCCGCCACGAAAGGGTATTTATATAGCAGAAAAACTTCAGGGAAGCAAAGGAAATTTTCATCCATTTCCCCTTGTCCTCATTTATTTCGGTCTTTTGAACCCAGTTGGTAAGTTGTTCACTAACCAGTTCATTTAGCTTATTACAACAAACTTTTTGCATTTTTTAACGATTTTGACTTGGGTAAACATTTTTTGGGTATCTACTGAAATCTGTCTTGGAATAGATTCAGGTCTACTATCCCAACTCTCAAAGAATGATAGAAATGTAAGCAAATAAGAGCAACACAGTGTTGTAAACACTTGCCAGAAGGCATGAGCAGGAATCGATGGGCACCACCAAGAAGGGTGTGGCCAGTTCTCTTTTTCCATGTGCACTGGCCTTGGCCAAGAGAATCATGTTCTGATGAGAGGAGAAAATAATTTCTTTTTAACCTCTGAGGCAGGCATCTCTGGGACATAGCCTGTATGTAGATCCTTGTAGGCAGATCTTTTAATTAGGATGTTTTTCTCTGTAGATTTCCCATGGATATTTTAGGATTCATAGTGATAGTTTGAGTATGTTCCTGAAGAACAATCTCTACTAGATTTCCAGCAATTCCTAAGGTCTCAATGGGTAAACTGTTGAAAGTCACCTAAATTACCATAACATAGCGTTTATATCTTTGGGACTATTTCTGATACATCTGTATCTATAAATCTTTGTCTGTGGAGAGGCACTTCATCCTTTGAAGAAAATACAGGTGACAAAATGAGAGTGATCACAAATACTTTCTACCACCACCACCACCACCACCACCACCACCACCACCACCACCACCACATTCCAGGTTATTTGTTTTGAGCCTGGTCTCTGAGACACCTTCTAGGTGACCAAAATAAATTCTCTTGTCTCTCTGACATTGTTTGGTGTTGCTACCAATTAAACTCCAACTGTAAAGCAGCTTTGTAAGAACACTGCAGTGCCACATTACAGAGAACAGATGTCAAAATAAAGGTTCACTAATTTGAAGCAACTTACATAAATAGAACCTTCAGGTATGTCTGTGACCACAAGAGAAGAAGAAGCAATTGTATTTGTGCAGTTGAGTGGTACCAAGGACAGGCTCTTTCCTTGATATGCCAACAGAGAGAATTTTGTTAGCAGTATTCTGTGAACAAAACACTTAAGAGAATGTATGTATACAATAGTTTTGAAAAAAAGGGTTACTGACACAGATGCCAATTTGGTGGGGCATATGGAACATTTACACTTGCCTTTTTCTTTCTTTCTTGCTACAGCTGGTGCTGATTTAGTATGTGAAATTTTACTAGCAGGAGTGCTAATCAAGACAGAGATTCTGTAAGGATTTAGTCATTTATGTAGGGGAAACAACGGGTATCATTAAAAAGTAGAAGATCATCTTATGGAAAAACATTATCATTATCAACCTCATTTTTAAACCAAACAGACACAATGGTACTGTAAGTATCACTTTAGCAGTTGAAAAAGTCAGAATGTTTTCCTTACAATGTTCTAAGAGGATTGCACTCACAGTTTTAAGTTTTGGTAGAGGCACGTTAAAGTTTGGTGTGTCAGAGTAATGCAAAAGGGTGAGCAATTTAACAGTTAGTTGTTTAACTTTTCTGTACAGTGCTTCGGCAAAACTGTTTGTTGGAAACATCAGTTTTTTTAAGGAACAAAATTTAGTTATGATAATATAGAAGGTGAATGTGTTTTTCTGAATCATTTGGGGGAAGTTGTGGGAAGGGGAAAAACGTGGAGGGTTTGATTTGATTTTTTTTCCTTCTGTATTTGAATACAAAAGTTTTGCAACATGAGGCCTGATTTTATCCAATAATCCCACTGACCATACAGGAGTTCAGAGAAAAATTTAAAAAAATCTTTTCTAAGTAGCAACAAAACCATTGTCGGTACATTAAATATGTTGTACAGGTGGCTTGGTAGAGTTGCAGACCTGAACGGCAGCTACAAGACATCTGCTGCCTGGGGAAACTTGCAATGTGGCAAAGTGGTGTTTGTAGCTCCCTATGGAAAGGTGCCAGCTGCCCAGGCCTTCGCTTCTGCAGATGAGCGGAGAGTCTTGTGGGGGCTTCAGTTGAAGCTGCGCGTCGTCCCATCCTCCTCTGTCTGAGAATTTAAAGGACAACGAGGACCTGCTGTGAAAAACCAGTGAGATGGTGTTGGGCGAGTTGTATATCAACTTTCGAATATTCCCCAAGGGCTTTGTCCATCAGTATGAAAATGAGCACACGCCTGCAACGAAACCATTTTAATTCTATTTTTAGGTTGAATTTCTAGGACCTACTGCAAATTTTTTATTATTATCGTGATTCATGTCTTAAAAGTCCTCAGAAGAGATATTTGAAGAAAAGTAAAGTTTACTAAAATGGAAGCAATAAAATATTTTATTATAAAATAATTAATGGTTATAAATGTCTTAGATGTTTGGTTTGTTTTCCATTTTGACATAAATATGGCACTCTTAAAAAAAGAATACACATTATAACTTATAAATAACTATTAGTGACTTACTAACTGGCCAATTAAAATTCATTTATGGAGTCCCACCACAAGCCAAGCACTATGGTAAAAGCATGAGGGACAAAGACTGTGTAACACAACCCACATAATCTAGAATATTTAAAAATTAATTAGCAAATATCTTATTTTATTTACTCAGGTTTTAATGACATTTTTTATTATAAATAAGCTTGACCATTTGAGCTATCTCATTGAAACTGGAAAAGTTGAAGACCTATCCTTAAATACACGAAGATAAAAGGGTGAGTAGGTTTGTACTGTGTCAAAATTTAAAACAACAAATACTAACTTCTTTCTCTTTCCATGAAAAATTTCTTCCATCCATAATATTGCCTAAGAAATAAAATTTTAAGAAAGAAAAGGACAGGGCCACCAGTTAACGGGATATGTGATTACTTAAACACACTAGACAAAAGAGAATAATGAATTTTTTTAAGGTAAAAAATTAGATTAAAAAAGTATTTTTAGCCTTATGTTTACACACACACACACACACACACACTTTAAATTGTAGTGACTTCTGAGCACTAATAAATTCCCTTTAAAAATTATGTTAGGTTATGTTCAAGGAAATGTTCGTTTCTGAAATTGTAACTGATGAATATCGTTTGAGAATTTCCTCAGTGAGGCAATCATTTAAATGGAAAACATTCATGATAGGTCCTGGGGGAAAACCCATTCTTCCCCCTAAAACTACCTGAGATTGGCTGTTAATCATTTATTTTGCTGTCCATACTTATGAGTAATAAGGAAAAATAAAATGTCATGTTTGAAAAAGGAACAGGTATTCGTTTTCTTTAAAATACATTGGCTTAGTCAGCTGAAGAATAAATTAGAATGGTCCACAAACTGTTAACAGTGACAGCAAGCATATGGCAAATTTGAACTGTCTGCAGGTCAACTTTTATTTTTGCTTTCCAAATGTCTGTCAGTCATTGTTAGGATCTAAATACACGTGTTAATGGGTGAAATTCAGCAATATGAAATCGTTTAGCAAATTCTCGGAGCAAGTGATTTTTTTTTATCTTTGTCTCTCATATGCACCTTCCTTGATCGCAGTCTTACAAAATTTTACTCAGAAAGAACAAACCCTTTGAAAGGTATTGTTGCCTTTTCTTTGTTCAGCTAGGAAAAAGACAAACAGTATTGTCATATGGCATGTGTGTGTGAGTGAGTGAATGTGATATGTGCACACTGATTTCTCCTAGAACCAGTAAGGTGCCCAGGTTGGTGCCTTTGCCATCATTATGACTGTCCCTGTCACTATAATTGTACCTTTCACTGTGGCAATGGAGAGCCATCTTTTAATTTCTCTCTTTCTATCAGAGCACCCTTGCTTTCTAAAGTCAGTCACGTTTATGGCCATGGAGACCAACGACAGTTTGACCATAGTGGAGTATTCTGCCACAGGTAGTGATAAGAGGACAAGCAAGTGCAGCTGGGATGAAAATTGAAGTGGAACTCCTGGGACACATTGGAAGCAGGTTAGAGAAAAAGATGTGAGAGAAAGAAAAGGAGGAACAGAAAAGAAGACTTGGAATAGAAAAGTCTTGAAAAGGCAAACCAGCAAATATCCAAAAGGATGAAGGCGCTGACCTCAACAAGTTTTCTTGCATGAATATGAGAAAATGGATGGACTGCAAGGGGTGGGAGCCGCCTCGGTTTTGAAACACTTCCTTCAGAGCAAGTCCTGTGCTGCCTCTGAAAAGATTATGGAGTCAAGTGTGGGAAGCAAGAAATGCTATTCATTTCTCCAGGGCCAGAAGAATTCTGATCATATTTTTAAAATTGCTTGTCAAAATAATAGGGATGCGTTGCTTTTTAAGATACCAGAGTTTTCAAGAAGCTAAGTGGTGGAATGTTCTTTGTAGGTGGGAGCTAATGGTAGGAGATTCTGTAAGAGAACTGAGCTCCCTACTAGCATTGGGGATGATTGGATCCTTGAAGAGCAGAAGTCAGGTGGTAGCACTTAAGTGTCAGAAGCAAAGTACAGACTTACCACACCGGGTAACAAGTTCATAATGCAGCCAGAGGAGACCGCAGCCCCTGCGGCAGCAGTTGCCCTGAGATATGTCAATCTTCTTTGCTTGGCAGGTGTAATTTGAGTACAATAATCTTAGAAGCAGGGCTGCTGCTACACAATGTGGAATATGTTGCTTCTCAGGCCCACTGTGACTGTAAAAGAACGATCACAGTAACTAGGTCTGAGAAGGCCATGAAAACAGAGCCTAGAGATGAGAACCTGGGTCTACGCACTAGGCAAGCAGCACAAACCAGAAAAAGTGTTAACCAAAAGAGAGACTCTACCATGGGTGGTGCTATGGTTTGGGTATTTATCCCCTCCAAATATCATTTGATCCCCAGTGTTGGAGATGCTGGAGATGAGGTCTAGTGGGAGGTGTCTGTGTCATGGGGGTGGATCCCTTATGAATAGCTTAGTGTCATCCTCATGGTAATGAGTGAGTTCTGGCTCCCTTTGTTCCCGTGACAACTGATTGCTAAAAAGAGCCTGGCACCTGCCTCCCCTCTCTCTTGTCATGTAGTGTCTGCTCCCCTTGCTTTCTACCATGAGTGCAAGCAGCCTGAGGCCCTCAGCAGAAGCAGATTCTTGTGTCATGCTTCCTGTGCAGCCTGCAGAACCATGAGCCAAATAAACCTCTATTCCTCAAGTATTCCTTCATAGCAATGCAAAGTGGACTCAGATGGGTGATTTTAAGGAGAGAGGATGAATGTCAGCTATTGCCTTGAAGTCAACTGCTGCAGTAGGGGCTGTAGTCTGTCTCCAGTAACCTTCCTCTTACAAAGTTTTCCTGAAAATTCCGACCAACCAGAATCCTGAAAAAGCTATGCCTAAGTGGAAATATTTAGTTATCCATAGAAATGATATTTCCCAGTATAAAGGATTTTATGATTTCTCCTTTCTACTGCCTAAGGTTTTTTTTTTTTTTTTGAGGCGGAGTCTCACTCTGTCACCCAGGCTGGAGTGCAGTGGCGCGATCTCGGCTCACTGCAAGCTCCGCCTCGTGGGTTCACGCCATTCTCCTGCCTCAGCCTCCCAAGTAGCTGGGACTATAGGCGACACATCTGGCTAATTTTTTGTATTTTGTTTTTTTAGTAGAGATGGAGTTTCACTGTGTTAGCCAGGGTGGTCTCGATCTCCTGACCTCGTGATCCGCCCACCTCGGCCTCCCAAAGTGCTGGGATTACAAGCGTGAGCCACTGTGCCTGGCCTGCCTAACGTTTTTAATAGACCTCTGACTAGTTAGCCTAAACCTGTGTGTCTGTAGGTCTTAGATGTGATGATGTTTACAACCTTGATAGCTGCTTCATGGTAGCCAAGGTTGCTGGAGTAGGTAATGAATGCTGCCAGCTGGCTTCTCCTACAAATCCATGCCATCCGACCTCAGCTATGGACCCTCCTTGTGGGGAGTCTTTTTGTCTCTGTTTTTTTTTTTTTCCCCCTACTGTATTTCCCACAGCTGCTATTCCAAAACCTTTCCATTGTCTTCAAGTTCAGAAAACTATTCCTATACATTTTGTATCAGCAGAGGGCCTCAAAACATACTTCTCAGTGATTGAAGCTATCCAGTCCAAATGCTAGCTTTTTAATCCTCACTTGGCTTTTGGGATGCTGTTCTCCTGTGGGTGTCATTCTACCTTTCCATTGCTTGCTCCTATTTCTCTTTCCACCTCTCAATTAGGGGTTTTCCTACAGTTCTCTTTGGTCATCATAACCATCCTCCTAATAATATGCCAAGTAAAAATTACATTAGTGTCATTGCATCCATTCTATCAGCAATTCTGTCAATTACATGTTGGCAGGTTTCTCTTTAAATCTGTGTTTGGCACTGCCCAGATTAGAATCTAATTTTCTCCCTTCTAGATAGTAGTCTCTCTTCTTTATGTCAATCAGAATAATCTTTCTAAAACATAGGCTTGATTAATTTTCCCGAGTCAGATTTTGTTTTCACTTTTTATTATAAATAAAATGCATACTATTTTATTGTGAATATAATACTTTCTTTTGTGAAATACAGCATATTAGAAGAATATATATATGATATGTAAGTAGCATCTAAAAATAATGAAATTCAGCTTAACAAATAATTCAGCTTAACAAATAATTCAGCTTAACAAATAAAATACTACTTAACAAGTAAAATACTACTTTTACTTTTGAAAGCCTTTGTTTTGTGAGTTCCTGCCCAATTGCACCCCCTTCCTCTATCCCATTACATCCTCTCTCCTTTACCTAAAGTAATCAGCATCTGGAGTTATGTTTATTTCTTTGTTTCTCTTAAAGTTTACCATATATGTATATATATTAATCTATGTAGAGATTATATGCATATGTTTAAATAAAAATGTTACAGTGTTGTTTCATTTTGCCTGTTTTTGAACTTTGTATAAAAGAAATTATAATGTATTATTCTACAACTTGCTATTTTCACTCATATGTCTTTGAGAACTTATTTATGTTGATGCATATGTCTGTAATTTTTGTATTTTCACTCTTGCATATTATTCCATTTCAAGAATGCATCCCAATTAATTTTTTTATTCTTCTTTTATTGGGTATTTGGATTGATTTATTATCACAAAAATGTTACTATAAATGTTCTTGCGTAGGTTTCCTCCGTGTTCATGTATTCAAGTGTTTTTCTAAGATGTATGCCTAGAAGTGGTATTGGGTATGCATAAATTCACTATTTCCATATAATTCCAACTTGTTTTCCAAAGTGATTTTACCAATTTACTCTATACAAACAGTGTATGGGAGTTTCCCTTGGTCTATATGTTAGTTTGGTGCAAGCGTTAATTGTGGTTTTTGACATTAAAAGTAGTGGTTAAAAACTACAATTACTTTTGCACCAACCTACCAACCTTACAAATACCTGGCATTTTTAGACTTTAATTTTTGCGGTCTATTTAGATGTGACATGGTATTTCATGGTAGAATTAATACACATTTCCTTCATCACAATTGACATTGAGAATTTCTCATGTTTACTCTCTCTTCATCTCCTGTGAAAAACTATTCATTGTATCTTTTTTCATTTTTAGTGAGAAAAATGTTTGAATTTTTTTTTCCTGGCTGATTTTTGTATTTTTTGTAGAGACAGGTTTTCCCCCATGTTGGCCTGGCTAGTCTTGAACTCCTGAGCTCAAGAGATCTGCCTGCCTTTACTTCCCCAAATGCTAGGATTACAGGCATGAGTCACTGCACCCGGCAGGTTGTTTGACTTTTAAATTTTAATTCACGGGATTTAAAAACTGATTTCAGATAGTAATCCCTCACCAGTATTTTCTGTTTTGGTTTGTGCTTTCTGTTTACTTTAAAATTATTTATTACCCTGAAGTGATAAATACATTTTCTTATGTTCCCTTTTAAAGTTACAGTCTTTCTTTTCTTATTTAAGTTATTGATCCATCTAGAATTAATTGTTTATAGGGTGGAAGATACTACTACATTTTTTTCCATATATATAATCAGTTGTACCAGCATAGTTTATTGACAAATTTGTCCCATTGGCACTGATTTGAAATGCTTATTCTTTCATTTATCAGATTTCTGTCTAGGTGCATAGATCTGATTCTGGGATCTCTGTCCTGTTCCACTGGTCTAGGGTTTATCTCCATACTGCTGGCTTTTATGTTTACTATATGGCTTTCTTTACTGTTGTTCTTTATTTTTTTCATATGGTTTCAAGTTACTTTCTAGTGTACTTTCATTTCAGCTTAGAGAATTTCCTTTAGCATTTCTTGTAGGGCAAGTCTAGTGACAAATTCCCTCAGGTTTTTAAAATCTGATATCTTGATTTTCCCTTCATTTTTAAAGTATGGATTTGCCAGATATTAAATTCTTGGTTGACAGATTTTTTTTTTCTTTTGGCACTTTAAATATGTAACCATTTCATCCCATTCCTTCTGGCCTCCCTGACTTTTGAAGAGAAATCAGCTTATGGTCTTATGAAGGATTCCTTGTATGGGATGAGTTGCTTCTCTTGTGCTGTTCCAAAATTCTGCCTTCATCTTTTGAAAAATTAGTTATCATATGCCTTGGTGTGAATCTCTTTGCATTTATCTTCCACAGGCATAGAGTTCATTGAGCTTCTTGGATGTGTAGGTTCATATCTTTCATTAAATTTGGAATATATCCCTTTTTTCTTCTTTCCGGCATTCAAGATATCAAAGTGAGGACGTGCTGAGTCCTCTGATGCAAAATTCCAGATTTCTCTGGGTCTTCCAGTAGCAGCTGTGATCAATTGTGCTGACAACACAGGAGCCAAAAACCTGTATATCATCTCCGTGAAAGGGGATCAAAGGACTGCTGCTGGTGTGGGTGACATGGTGATGGTCACAGTCAAGAAAGGCAAACCAGAGCTCAGAAAAAAGGTACATACAGCAGTGGTCATTTGACAATGAAAGTCATATCATAGAAAAGATGGCATGTTTCTTTATTTCGAAGATAATACAGGGGTCATAGTGAGCAATAAAAGCGAGATGAAAGGTTCTGCGATAACAGGACCAGTAGCAAAGGAGTGTGTAGACTTGTGGCCCCGGATTGCATCCAATGCTGGCAGCATTGCATGATTCTCCAGTATATTTGTAAAAAATAAAAAAAAAAACTTTAAACCCATTAAAAAGTATTTGTTTGCAAAAAAAAAAAAAAAATTGGAATATATTCAGCCACACGTTCTTCAAGAATTCTCTCTGTCCCTTTCTCTCTTCCCCTCCCCTCTGGGATTACCATTTTGTGTAGTTAGTATCTTGTTGGTGCCCCATAGTTTGTTAGGCTATGCTCATTTTTCCTCATTCTTTCAGGTTCTCTTCTTTTTTGTTCATCTCAGTTGACTTATATTTAAGTTAATCAATTCTTCTGTTTGCTCAAATCTGTTGTTGAAAACCTCTAGTGAATTTTTCAACTCCAGACCCTCTATGTGATTTCCTTTTACAATTTTTATGTCTTTATCGACACATTCTCTCTCTCTCTCTCTATTTTTTTTGAGATGAGGCCTCACTATGTTGTCCAGGTTGGAATGCAGTGGCTATTCACAGGCACGATTATAGTGCACTAGAGCCTCAAACTGCTGGTCTCAAGCAGTCATCCTGCCTCAGTCTCCCAAGTATCTGGGACTACAGCTGTGTGTCATGCTATTCTCTATTTGTTGAGACAGCATTTATCTCATTTCCTTAAGTTATTTTTTATGCTTTCTTTACTTCTTTAAGCTTATGTAATAGTTTATTTAAAGCCTTCTTCCAATAGGTCTAATGGCTGGGTATCTCCATGAACAGTTTCTATTAATTTTTTAATATTAATATTAATTTTGAATATTAAAATGTGGCAAGTCTGAAAATCAGATTCTTTCCTCTTCCTTGAGGTTTATTTTTCCTGCTTGGTATGGGTTGTGGTTGTTTACTTGTTCAGTAAATTTTCTAAACTAGTTTTAAGTCTCTCTGAGTGTTTTTTTTTTCTTTATCATATGTAGCCATTGAAGTCTACATTCTACTAGCTTAGTGGCCAGCTTGTGTTTTCACAGAGGTACCTTAGACACTTGGCACTGAAAAAAAAAAAAAAGAAGGAGGAGGAGGAGGTAAAAAAGGAGAGGAGGAGAGGGAGAAGAAAAATAAAAATATAAAATTATCTCAGTCTTTGTAGATTTGCTTTGTGTTTCGGCACTTCTTCAATCCTTAGCCAGGCTGTTTAAAACTCTGCCTTAGCAACCACTTCCTACATGAGTGGAGATCAAAGGGTACTCAGAGGTTAAAGCTTAGGTTTTCTCAGGCCTTTTCTAGTATGCATCCCAGCTCTGGGGACACTTGAGTTGGGGGAAACACAAGGAAGCTTTTGTGCTGGTCTTTGATGAAACTACCAGACAGGGTGAAACCCACACCATAATTCTTTAAAAATAAGGTTTGTGTTGCTCCCTCTGGCACTGGCAACCTGCATCAGGAGTACAGGCTGCTGTTCTCACGGCTGCTGCAGTTTGGGGTATGAAGGATGGTACACAGGCACTTTAAAATGCCACACCACTCCTGTACCACTCTCCTACCAGATATAGAAGCTTCTTTCTTTATCAAGTCATCCCTTGGTTGTTGTAAGTTTTTTAACTGGTTTTCCAAATTCTTTAAAAGTTGATTCTGACCATTTTTGCTAGCTTCTTAGTTGCTTTTAGAAAAGGATGAAGCCCTGTGGTTTCCTAGTCTGACATTTCCCTGGCATTGCTCCTTTATACTATTATTTTGCTTTTCTATATTCATTTAAAATCAGTTTGTCAAGTTTCACGAAAAACCTGCTTTTTTTTCAATTAAATGTTTTATTTTGAGATAATTGTAGATTTACATAGAGAGATAATACATAGATCCCATGTACCATTTCCCCAGTTTTCCCCAGTGAAAACATCTTGTAAAAGTATAGTAGATATCACAACTAGGATATTGACACTGATATTCAAGATGTAAAGCATTTCCCTAACACAAAGATCACTCATATTGCCATTTTATAGTCATACCCACTTCCCTCTTGCTTCCACCCTTTCCTTAACCCTTGATAGCCACTAGTCCATTTTCCATTTCTATAATCTTGTTATTTCAAGACTGTTATACAAATGGAACCATACAGTATATAACATTTGGGGATTTCTTTTTTTAACTCAGTATAATTGTCTGGAAATTTATTGAAGTTGTTCCAGGTATAACAATTTTTTAAATTGTTGAATTATTATTTACTTCTTGGTACAGATGTATCATAGTTTGTTTAACATTCACCCTTTGAAAGACATGTGGGTCATTTCTAGTTTGGGGCTACTACAAATAACACTGTTGTAAACACTTGTGTGCAGGTTTTTGTGTGAACATATGTCTTCATTTATCACCAGATAAATGCTCAACAGGGAAATTGCTGGGTTGTATGGTAACTGCATACCATCACTTAGTTTCTTAAGAAACTGCCAAACTGTGTCCAGAGTGGGGCAATGGTGGAAGTTCTGAATTTCCAGTGGACATCTTCAGATACTACCTCAGTGGGGAGAGGATGATAGGGATACAAGTCCAGGCTCCCCCTGTGTAGTCTCCACTGTCAGCACAGGGGGAAATCTAATCCAGCCAGTGGGAAAAATGTTGTGGCCTTCTATGAAGGCCTACTTGTTCTTCCCTGATATTAACCCAGCAGGATGTTAGGTACCTATTTCCAGCTTGGCAAAAGTAGAAGTTCAAGTTATTAGGTTGGCCTTTGCTGGTGGGGTGGGGGTGGGGTTACCAATTTTTCTGTATTGTTTGTCAGAAGTACAGTGGTTGATGTTCAAAAGTTTTCTGTCTTGCTAGGCTGCTCCTTTGTCTTTGGACCAGTAGGCATTTTGGAGGCATTTTTGGTCCGTGACCACTGACATTACTGTTTTATTGATTTCTCCAGTTCCAAGTTTGGGATATATGAGCAAAAATAAAACCCAAGGGTCTTATCACCATATTATACCTCAGGTCCTGTGTTTCTTGGCCAGTCTGCCTTCTTCTCTCTACCTGTAGAGTGTTCTGGTATGTGTGTGTGTGTGTGTGTATGTGTTTAGGATTTTTAGTTATACTGCATTTAGAGCAAAAAGTACAGCCACTGTATTTTACCAAAAGCAAAAATATGTTCTGGTTGGGGTTTGTTGTGAATCATAATGAATCTAAATGTCAATTTGGCAGAATAAAAATCTTTAGGATTACCTATGAACATAGTATGCCTTTGCATTTAAGCCCTTAAATTTCTTCAATAAAGTTTTATAATATCCTACTCAAATGTCCTATATATCTTGTTGGATTTATTCCTTAGGTACTTTATGTTTTCAGACGTTATTGTCAACAGTATTTTAAAAATTACCTTGTGTTGGGATGTATAGATTGCAGTTTAATTCATGTTCCACTTGCATATATGAACTTCATTACATTTTCTTATATGGTCTAACAATTTGTCTTTAGACTTTTAAATTGTAGACAGTAATATTATTTTTGAATCATGATAGTGGTATTTTTTCCTTTTCTTTCCTTTCTTCTTTTTTTTTTTTTTAATTTATTTATTATTATTATACTTTAAGTTGTAGGGTACATGTGCATAACGTGCAGGTTTGTTACATATGTATACTTGTGCCATGTTGCTGTGCTGCACACATCAACTCATCATTTACATCAGGTATAACTCCCAATGCAGTCCCTCCCCCCTCCCCCCTCCCCATGATAGGCCCCGGTGTGTGATGTTCCCCTTCCTGAGTCCAAGTGATCTCATTGTTCAGTTCCCACCTTTCTTCTAACTTTTATTACTGTTTCTTGTCTTATTGTAAGACTCTCCAGTGCAATGCTGAATAGAAGTAGTGACAGAAAGCAATTCTGTCACATTCTTGAACTTAAAGATAATCTTACGATCGCTGTATGTGCTTTTGTAGCTGTTGTTTACCAGAATAAAGAAAATTTCTTCTATTTCTAGCTTGCAGAGTTTTATTAAGTGGGTATTGAGTTTTATTGAATGCTCTTACTGCATCTATGGGGGAGATTTTGATTTTCTCCTTTAATCTTTTAATGTAATGAATTAATTTTGTAATTTTCTAATGTCGAATCAACTTTGCATTTCTGGAATAATCACCATTTGGTGATAATGTATTATCTTTTTCATATATCCCTGGATTTACTTTGTTAATGTAGGTTAGTATTTTTCATTTATCCTGTGAAATTGACTCATAATTATGTTTCAAACTGACTCTGTGTGGTTTTGGTGTAAAGGAGGTGCCAGCCTCATCCAATATGTTAGAAAGCAATTCTTTTTCTCTTTTCTAAAAAAAAGAAATAATTTGATCCTTAGCTGCGTGATAGAATGCATCAAAAGAAATATTTCAATAAGGTCTTTTTCATTGCAGAAAATTTCAATCCATGTTTTTAGTTTCTTGAGTGAGTTCTAAGGCTGTTTAGGTTTTCTATGTTTTTGTGTATTTTGATAACATTTTTCTAGAAATGTGTTCATTTCAGTGAATCATTCACATGTACTGTTTTTAAGTTTATATAATGTTCTCCTACCATCTCTTTAGCATGTGTTGCATCACTAATAAGCACCCCTTTCATTCCTCACATTGTATATTTTACTTTCTCTCTCTCTTCTTATTTTTGTCAGAGATATATTCTTTATTAGTTTCATCATAGAACCAACTTTTAGCTGTATTGATGCTCTGTCTTGTATCTTTAATTTTCATTTAGTTATTTTATCCTTGTACCTCACTGTTTACTTCCATTTTCCTTGTTTTGTTGATCCCATTTCTGCCCTGGCATCAGGTTTGTGTCCTGTCACTAAGCATGACTATGAAATTGACATTCTAGGCCACCAGGAATTAGTAGATACTACAAGGCAAAAGTCCATTCTAAATCTCTATAACTTCTTGAGTTTTTTGTCATTGGTTTCTAGAGACTCCTTTATGATTACAGAAGCTCATCTAGGCATTGCAAAATGGCATCTTTTATATTTTGCCTACTGTTTTTGGGTGTGCTTCCCAGAAGAGCTTTCTCAGAAATGACCCTGCCTGGTGACCCTCAAATACTCTCCATGACTCTTAGTATCTGGAAACCATGTCCAAATTCCATAATTTTTAAGGGCTGTTACCTCAACTTGCCTTTCCTGGCTGTCTTT